TAAGTATAGTAATAATATATATATATATATATATATATATATATATATATATATATTGATTTTTTGTATATGGATATTAAACTATTTTTTATAAAGGTCAGCAATTAATATGTATAAAAAATTTGTAGTTTATAACACAAATTAATTGGATAATCTTATTAATTAAAAGTTGTTTAGAAAATAAAAAATCTTATATAATAAAATAGTTTTTAGGTAATTATTATATTTTTATTTATTTTATAATTTTTTTAAGATTATTTAATTTTTAATTTAAAAATTTATTTAATGTTCAACAGATTTTTTCATATCAGTTTCATTTTCTAGTATATATATATATATATATATATATTTATATATATTTATATATATATTTATATTTATATATAGTTATATATATATATGTATTTTTATTTTTTTATTTTTTTATTAAAAATATATAAAAATAGAATTTAAAAAATTTAGAAATTCAATTAATAAATATTTTTAAAATTTCTCAGAATTAATGATTTATAATATAGAAGAATCTTTAAATATTATAAACTAATTTTTTTCATAATTTTAAAATTATAATAAAAGTTATTTTTAAATATTATATATATTCATATATTTATATATTTAATATAGATTAAATAGCTATTATGGTTTTATTAACTTGCCATTTTTTTTTTGTGAGTAATCTAGAAAGATATTTATAATAGAAAGATAATTTAGTGTTTAACTAAATAATTAATTAATTATTTTAAATTATTTAAATATAAATTAATGACTCTTTTTTAAATAATTAAACTAATTGTAATGATTGTGATTTTCTTGAAGAATCAATCTTATATTTTTTTGAAAATTATATAAATAAGACATTTATTAGTAAAAATAATATGATATTATATTTTAATAAATACTTAAATAAATAGATATCAAATTAAATTAAATAAAAGAAGATTAAAATTTTTAATTTTATTATTAAAATAAGGTTATATAAACTATTAATTTTTATAAAATTAATAATAATAAAAAAAAAGTATTACCCTAATTAATTTTGTAAAAGTTTTTAAGATTTTATTGAAATAATTTTAAAAAAGCTTAAAATTTGTTTTTTTTAAAAAAGTTTAAATTTTATTATATTCTTTAAATATAATAAACTCTTTATTTTAAAGGTAAAATTAATATATAAATATATATATATATATATATTTCCTTTTTTTAATAAATAAAGATTTAAAGTTATTTTCAATAAAGAATAATTTGAACGTTTAAATTTGATATAAATGTTAACAGAAATACTAGAGAATTCTGAATTTTTTAATTAATATAATAAAGAATCATTAAAATGTCGAAAGAAAATATATTCGGTAATATCTTTTATATATTTAGATGACGATTCAGATAGAAAATATATAAATAGTATTAATTAAATCCAAAATTAAATAATAAAATAAAAATTTTAAATTTAAAGAGTAAAAAAAAAAAAAATTTCAAAAATTTTTAAAAAAAAAACAAAACCAAAACAAAAAAAATAGGAATAATTAATAAAGATTTCTTATGATATTTCTGGCATTTTAAAAAATATAAGATCTTCGAATATATATTTAATATTTTTTAGAAAATTGTAAAACTCCCAAAAAAAAAAAAAAAAATACTAAAAAAATTATTAATTTAAATAACAAAAAGTTAATATATATATACAATAATTTTCTCAGAATAAAACTTAATATCAGATATCGATTAAGAATTAATAATACCAAGCTTAAAATTAATAATAAATACAGTAAATAATATATCATATCGAATAAGTTAATTATAAAATTCACCTATAGGATATTAGATCTTTTAAACATTCTGTAACTTTTTAATATAATATGGAAATTTGTTAAAACAATAATTCTAAAATAACACATAATAATTAAATAAAGAAAAAACTAAAAATCTCTATAATTATTGGAAAGTATTAAATAAAATATTAACATGTAAAATGATAAACTTTTAAGTGTTTTCACATTTTAATAATAGAAGTTTTATCGAATATCTTTAAATAAACTTAGATTTAATATATTTAGTACCCAAAAGTGTATTTAAATTTCCATTAATATTATAAGTATATTGCTAAAACCTATATAATATATGTGAAACATTCCTAGATGTTTTAATTTAATTTTTGGACGAAGATTACATATTAAATATGTTATAAACTATATTTTAAACAATGTAAATGTTGTTTGAAAACGATCTAAAATAAAACCATATTTTTAAAGAATATTTAGAAGGATAAATAAGTATGTGTTGTTTTTCAATTTAGTTTATTTGTAATTATAGTCTAGATGATTTAAATACTAATTTTAATTTAAAAAATATACAAAGTTTAATTACTTAGTAATCATAAGAAGTTATTTTATAATTTTTTCATATTATTTTTAATGCTTGCTTTGAGTTTATTAATAATAATAAGCTTTTTTATAAATTTAGTAGTACTTTGTTTTCTATAATTATTCTTTCTACAAAAGTAAATAACTTTTTATTATAATTTATGTTTAATATATGTTTTATGTAATTTTATTATATTTTAATTAATTTTATTATAATTTATTTCATTTTATATCTAATATTTTATTTTATTTAATGTTTATTTTTATTATATATAATATTTTATTTTATTATTTATATTTAATTATATTAAGTTTTTTTTTAATTATTTTATTAATTATATTTAATATAATATATTTTTTTTTATTTATAATTTTTTTTTTAATTTATTAATTTTTTTTTTTTATTTAATTATTTTTTTTTTTTATTATTTATTAAATATAGGACTTTGAAAGATTTAAACAAGAAATTTTATAAAAATAAATGTCTATAGAACACAAAGAGTTTATTTAAAACTTATTTAATTAAATTTATTCTGATTTAGATTTAAAATTAGATGAATTAAATAAATAAAAATTTAATTAAAATTTCTTGAAAATAATTAAAAGTATTTAAAATTCTTGATACAAAAAAAAAAATATTATATATAAATTTATATTATTACAACATATATTTATAATTATTTTTTTTATTTAATATTATTTTTTAATCTAATTTTATTTAAATTATATAATCTATATTTAATATAATATCAGACATTTTTTATTAAATAAGTATTATTTTTTATATGATTTTGATATTCATTCATATAATTTTTTTTTTTATTTATTTATGAAATATATATCTTCATATAATTATATTATTTAAAAAGATTTATTTGAAATAGATAAAAAATTTTTTTTATTAAAATTATTTCTAAAAGATATATAAAATAAAAAAAAAAAAATTGTTTTTTAAAAAAATTCTTTATATTATTTTATTACAATTTTTAATAAAATATAATAATTTAATAAATATTATTTTATAAAAGAATTTTTTAAATAAAATGTTTATATATTTATAATTAATATATTTGTATTTAAATTCATTATTAAATAAAATTAATCTTTATAAAAATTTTGATTTCATTTAAAAATGAGAATATAGCAACTTTTAAAAGATAAGGTAGAAAATTTATATTATAATGATAAATAAAAAGTTATTTATGATACTTAATTATATTTGTATAAAAAATTCAAAATAAATGAACATTATAAAAAAAAGCAAATATAAAATATATTGTATATAAATATATATTATATGATTAAATATATATATTAATATTTATATATATATATTATATTTATATATTTTTATACATATTTTTATTTATAAATTAGTATGTAATATATTATTTTATTTTTATATTTTTATTTTAATTAAAAATTTTATATTTAGTTTTTTTTTTTTTTTTTTATAAATATAATTTTTTATATTTAATTAATTTTGTCTATAACTATTTTTAAAATTTTTTTTATTTTAAGTATTTTCAATATTTTTTTATAAAAATTTTAAATACTATCTCAGATATTACTTATTTTATATTGCCTTTAATATTTTTTTTTATATTTCTTTTCTTTATATTCAATAAAATATATAAATAAAAAATTTCAATTCAATAATAAATATAATTTTATTAATAAAGATAATAAAAATAAATTCTTAATTTAATTTTTTTTTTTTTTTAATAAATCAAAAAATATCAATTTTATATTTTATCTAATTAATCTTCCAATATACTTTTAAAACAAAATGGTTTAAATATATATCCGTCCGCTTTATAAAATTTACTTTAAAATTCTACCCAATGTAGTCTTAAAGTATGTAAAAAACACTCCATAGCATCCATACAAATAAGTACACCAAAAGTTACTAAAGCAAAAATTAAAAAACCAACAATTAATCCAAAAGTACTTCCCTCATTAAGGCTATTTTTTAAAGTTTTATCGAAGAAAACCTCCGCTAGTTATGAATGTGCTAATGAAAGTGCCCATAATCTCAAATAACTAGCAGTATGAGAAATAGAGCCGAGTACAAATTCTATAGTTTCTATAGTTTAATGTACAAATTCATCACTGAATTAATGTTCAGAATGTTTTTCGATATTTAATTTGAAGTTTTATTCAAGAAATTTTTCGGCTTTATTCCTATTTTCCTCATTTTCGAATTATATATAGCCATTTTTCTATTTTTTTCGCTGATTTAAATAGTTATTGATTATAGGCTTTGGAAAAAGCATAAAAGGAACACTAATAATAGCCGCTAGAAATAGAATTTATTAATCGTATTTTTAATTTTAGTATAAATCTTGTTATGTTCCTACCCCATTTGTTTATAAGGCTATATTTAGCATATAATTTAATATAGAAGGCGCATTATTTGTATTTTAAGTAAAGTCGAAATTCCATTTAAGAATTATGAGAAAGACCATATAGCCAAATGTACAAGTAAGGAAAATTACTTGAGGAATAAACTCAAAAAAAAAATCAATAAAATTGATTTATTCAATTGAATTTAAACCTTTCAAAAATACGCCCAAAAGCATTTAAGAAATACCTAAAATTACACTAGTCTTCATTTTTAAAGAGTTTTAAAGTTATAATTTGTTCTAGGAGATACTCCATACTGGATCGATACCGACTTTATATGTACAATCAGGCACTTTTTGGGTTTATAAGGAGTCCTGGCTTTAGTAACAACTGTTAAATATATTTAAAGGGATAGACATAAAATCATTATATATAAATCCATTAAACAAAGCAAAAAAACCCATTAAAGTGATCATATATCTATATATATATATATATATAAATGTATATATTTATTTTTTATGTATACCTAGTCGAATATAAAATTGATAATAGTGAGTTTTTGTCCTTTTATTTTTATTCGGAAAGGAACATTAAATAAATGCCTAAAATGAAAATCAAAAAGCCATGTCCTATATCGCCAAACATAACTCCGAAAAGAAAAGGGAAGGATATTATTGTAAAAAAGGCAGGGTTTATTTCCCTATATCTGGGTATTCCGTATGTATTTACAATTAGTTGAAAAGGATTTAAAAATTGGTTAGAGATAAATTTCGTTGGAGGGGAAATTGTGTAGTTTTCTAGTCTGTGGAATTATACTGAAGATATTATTGATTGCTTTTAGTTTGAGAATTTCTGGATTATGTTTTGTTCGTTCGATTCTTATATCCATATTAGGCCTTTGTAAAATGATTAACCGTTTTATATTAGGTAGTTTAGGTTTGTTTAAATTGCTTTTTCTTTATCTAGTATTAGTTTAAAGTATTCTAGGGTACTACATATGCCGTTATTCTTTTAAAAATAGTCAAAATAATCATAAATACTGCTCTAGGAGATGTTTATGGTACGATTACAGTCTTCTATTTGTTGCTCTATAGAAAACAAATCCTAAGATATTGAAAAGGTATTGATGTTAAAAATAAAAGAATTAAATGCTGAACATATTTTACGAAGTTTTAAGTCTAAATAACTGTTATATCCAGCACTATATAATAATATAAAAATGCTCTTTTTATGTTAAAATCCTTTTAAAGGAATTAATTTAAAACCTTGTTTTTAGTTGTTTTAATCTATTTTTTTTATATGAGACCATACATTTCCCTTTTTTATATTTAAAAATTTAACAAAAAATATATTTAATATTACATATATATAAATTTAAAATATATATAAAAATTTTACTTATTATATTTTTTTTTTTTTTTTTTTTTTATATAAAAAAATTATAAAAAAATGAAGACAATGTATTATTTATTGAATATTATTTTATAATTGTATTTTTAATTAATATAAATTAATTAATATAAAAAAAGTAAGTGATAAAATAATATATATATATATATATATATATATATATATATATTTATATATATATATATATTTTAGTTTATAGATTTTTAATTTTATTATATAATTTTTTAAAAAGAGAAAATAACTGTATTTTCTAATTTTTTATTATATAATTTTATTTTTTAAAAAGAATAAAAGAAAAAATAAAGTTAGTCCTAACTTAAATTATATATATTATATTTATAATTATTTATTATATTATTTATATTTTTTTTTTTTTTTATTGTAACTTTTGATGCTCTAAAAATAATTTTCTAAAATCTATTTTCGTCTTCCTAATTTATTACTCCAGCTAGAAAAGTAATTTATATTTTATCAGTTAAATTTTCAGGTTATTATTATTGTTATAATTATTATTATTATTTTATATTTTTATCAAAAGTTATTTAATAAGCCTCTTATAATGTTAATCTTTATAAAATTAATGTATTTCTATGGTATAATACATTATTATAATTATTTAATAATTAATCTAAATATAAATGCCTTTATTCAATTTCATTTTCAATTGTTTAAAAGTAAACTTCATCTGAAATATTTATTTATTTTATTTCATTTTTTAAATATTTTTAAAATTATTCTATGCTTTTGCATTGATCTAGATATATATATGTATCATTAAATTCATTAAATTTATACATTTAATCTTCTATCCATTATAGTTTTTATTAAGATTCCTCACATCGCTTTATTTGCTTAAAATAAGGACGATTAAATAATGGAATTTCGCTATCCGAATCTACAAAATGAACCATACCTAAATCTCCAAGTTCATTTAGGACATACCATGCCCCTTCTCGGGGCATTAATATACAATATAATGACATTTTTTCACTTCGGAACATTTTATATATGTGCTTATTTATATATTTATTTTACTTTTTTTATATATATAAATTTAAACGCTTATCAATAAAATAAAATTATATTTATTATTATTATTTTATTTTTTCTATTAATCTTTAAATGATTATTATAAATTTAAAAATTAAGTAAGTATAACAGAGTTAAAATAAAAATATATACTCAAATAATAATTATCATATACATTTGATTAATACAAAAATTTTATATAACAAAATGATTATGAATTAAATTATAAAATAATAATATTTTTATTATGAGATTAATAATATTATATATATGTAAAAAAAGAATTTATTTGTGAGATTTCTTTATCCAATAATTATTAAACAAAAAAATTAAGATTATTTTTTAAAAAAATTCTATTATTTAATTTTTAGAATAAATTTATATTAAAAATAAAAAAGTTTAATATATTTCTATTATATATATATATTATAAGTTTTAATTATAATAAAAAATAGAAATTTAAAAATATTTATATATAGTAAATATAAATATTTTATTTATATAATGTATTTATTAATAAAAAGATTAATATCAAATAGAAAAAAATAAATAATAAGAAAGTATGAAGGCCTATAGTGTAAAAAGAAATTATTAAATAGTAAGCACCGAAAAAAATTATGTATATATACTTTAAATAATACTCTAGATTTATGTTTACTTAAATTACTTTAAAAATTGAAATATAATCAAAATGTCTTTAATCACCAAAGAATTATAAACAATATAATAATAGATAACTAATATTAATTTAGAAATATATATAAAATAATAATAAAAAAACACTTTTATATTAAAAATGTAAAATATTATAAGATCTAGTGAAAAAATTTATATTAAAATATTTGAAAATTTAATTTAAAAAAAAAAACTCAAATGAAATTATAAAAATAAAAATCAAAGTCAAAATTCAAAATTCAAAGATAAAATAAGAAAATACATAATATATAAATATATATATAAATATTTATATAAATATAA